TTTATGAGCATACAAGAGTATCAAAGACATCTCTGAATACAGACACCAGTGTTCTTCATTAGAACTAATGTTTCATTGGTTTTTATTAAGATTTGTTTTCAGATATATATATATATATGTATACATATATGTAAAATATTACCATAGTTCTTATTTTTAGTGATGTTAAATATGGTCCATTATTTCAGTATTCATTGGTTAATAATCTTTTTTATGAAATAGTGTTTCACATCAAATTAATTTTTGGGACCTTAATGGTCTTACCATTTGATTACTATAGCTTTAGCTTATATTCTTTCCCAATGATCTTTGGTGAGGAATAATTATTTCATTGTCAATTACATGATATTTTCTTATTTTAAGTTCACCTTTTTTTGTGCCATGCTATTTTGTGTTAAGTGTATGTTGTAAACTCTTTAGTGAACAGGGGTTTATTTAGAAACCATTGTGTCAATAGTAAATTGTTTATCATATTGTCACAATCTAACATAATGCAAACTTTGATACTATAACTGCCTAGAAAACATATGAAACTGACAACTTCAAAAAGTTTGTGTTTTGATAATTAGATATAGGAAGATGTGGTATGAGTGCCAATGAGACAACTCTCCATCCAAGTTACAATTTATAAAAGTAAACCATTATAGGTCAAGGTACGGCCTTCAAACCCATTATATCTCTTAACCTGTAACAAGGAATTTCAAGGGAGGTAGGGTACCTGCCATTATAATGGTGGGTCTGCTCAAGGCCCACATAATCCCAGTTCAAACAATAAATCAACTTTAATAGTGTTAAAAGGGTTTAAAGGGGTTACATACTCAATCCATATAGCAAGATCAGTTAAACAACACTTTCATACAGCTTTCTGTAACTATCATAGTCCAGTCCACCACAAGAAATAAATTTGGTATAAAGTGGAGATAGTCCTTGACTTGTTGATTTTTTAACTTCTCTGATAGTAAACTTTAAATTGTTAATCAATCCACCTCCCAAGGTATCGATGTCACAACACAAATTCCACAATAGAGGTTAGATTGATTGAGGTATCAAAAGGCATCTTAAAGACTTGGAAGTTTAATGCCATCTGCATATAACAGAAAACATACTAGATGCATCTATTGGTATGCCCACATTTAGATATTTTGTTTCATACATATTATTAACATAAGATCATTCAAATATACTAAAATTGATGTAGGTAATAATTGTACATTCTTGTTTTACACTCATATCTACAAACAGGAACAGAGAGGGGAAAGATACCAAAGGGACATTCAAAAGTTCAAAACAAATTGATAACGCCATAACAAAAAACGAAAAACACAACCAAAAGACAAACAACAGTATACAAAACACAACATAGAAAACTAAAGACTGAGCAACACAAACCCCACCAAAACCAGGTGGTATCTCAGGTGCTCTGGAAGGGTAAACTGATCATGCTCCACATGTGGCACCCATCATGTTGCTCAGGAAAATACAAACCCTGTGACAAAACTCCTTTTAAAAACCTTCCATTTACATCCAAGTACCTAAGGGAGCTACCATTTGATTTTTATAGGGGCTAGGATGAAAAATTTTGTCCTGCATATTTTTTTTAGTTGTAATCTCTGTCCTGCCTTTTTATTTTTCACTCTATTCGGTCCTGCCTTTTTTTTATTAGTTTATCCTGACTTTTTTTACATAAATTGTCATCCTGCCTTTTTTTTTTTACTCAACACTTCCGTCCTGCCTTTTTTTTCAAATTTCATCCCAGCCCCCCCCCCACCCATAAAAATCAAATGGTAGCTCCCTAAGTTTAAACCACAGCATATTCTCTGTACTAATTTGTACAGTATGAAATGCTTTTTTCATGTCAATAAAACAGGCAAATGTCTATTGTAATTAAAGTTATATTACTAACTAATAGGGTTAAGCATATAAATGTTACATAAAATGACGTCTTTCCTCAAAATCATTTTATTTGTAGGCTAATATGTTATTTTTCGAACAAAAAAGATAAACACACATTTAGAATATGACCATATATTTTGTATGAATTGAAGTAAAAGCCTTTCATCTCTATCCTAAAGAGTCTTATATGTGATCAAAATATGATTCAATGTTTTCGAAACCACTAATTTTTTATATGCCTGTTTAAGGGACGTATTACGGTATAACGTTGTGCGTCTGTCGTCAACATGTTGGCCAATAACTCAAAAATACTTGAACCAATTTGCATGAAACTTTGGTGAATTGATTATGTCTGTTGACGTGAGCTCCCTTTCGATTTTTGTTAACTTTAGATTTTACGTTTCCGAATTATGGGATTTTATTCATAAAAAAAGGGGGATTTTCCAGTTTTCGGAAAGTAACTCAAAAGTGCTTTGGGAAGTTTTCATGAAAATTTAGTGACTGTTTTATATTTATTAAAATAACCCCCATTTAGTTTTTTTATAAATTTCGGATATGACATTGAGAAGTTCTTTGAAAAAGCGCATTTCAAGCGCTCATGGCGCAGCTCTTTATTCAATATCTGGTATAGATGTGAACGCATGCGTTGAGACATAAAATTCAGCAAATAAAAGATCTAATCTACCTCCTATATTCATCTTTGCATGATAAAGTTTTTCCTTTAACTTAATTAAAATAGTTCAAAGTTTAATGAAAACATCATTATCTATCATTGCAGGTAAATATAGAAAAAAAACCTCTTAGTTGAAAATGTAGTCACCATCACAAGAGTTCTATGGATCTTAGTATGTGTTTTCAGCATGTCATAAATAGTATAAATATACTTGCTCACACCTCCATTATCTGAATGTTGGTCCTCTGCTAAAATAATTTTTGTGCTTTTGATGCCAATGGACTAGACGGATGCCATGCCCTGCCTTTTTTTCAAATTTCATCCTAGCCCCCTCCCCCCCCCCCCATAAAAATCAAATGGTAGCTCCCTAATGGACAATTACATAAGTATTATTCTATGGATCTCTATGAAATTGAAACACAAGGTTCCATACCACAAAGGGAAGGTTGGGTTTGACTTTGGAGGTTATGGCTCAAACCGTTCAGGAATAAGGGGCAAAAAGAGGGGGGAACAAGGTTTTTCTGGTTTCCGGACAAATACTTAAGTATTAGTCAATGGATCTCTATGAAATTGTACCACATCTGATCTATATGAAGAAAAAACAAATACTGATATGACAGGAGATACATACCAAACAGGGTGTGTTAATTATTATATTTAGTTTGTAAAAATATTTACTAAGTATTGCACAACAGCAAGAAATCTTCAATTGAAAATAAATACAAATCTTTTAACCAATTTCAATGAGGATTAATTTAAAGTCTTGAATTGTTTGAGGTTTTTACCATGTATTACTATATTGGATATTTGGACATTTTTAAATAGGTCTACACTGAGGTCCAAAGGGTCCGAAATAATACTTGGTTTCCTCAAAAACTGAATTCTTGTGGTTCTATGATATGCTGAATCTAACTGTGCATTCAGATTTTTAATTTTGGGTCCTGTTTTCAAATTAGTCCATATTAAGGTCCAAAGGGTCCAAAATTAAACTTTGTTTGAATTCATGTATTTTTTTTTTTTATATGATGAATCTAACCATGGAATTAGATTTTGGATATTGGACCATTAAGTAGATTACCGGTAAATGTCCCATTTCAAATTTTTAAGTTATCTGACCACATTTATTCTGTGTCAGAAATCTATAATGTGTCAAATATTTAATCAGTATCCAAATTCAGAGCTGTATCAAGGTTGAATATTGTGTCCATACTTGCCCCAACTGTTCAGTGTTCGACCTCTGCGGTCGTATCCAGCTGCACAAGGCGGAGTGCATTTTTAAAATTTTGGTTCATTTATATGTTTCGGAGTTTAGTGTGATGTCCATTTTTCGCTGAACTAGTATACATTATTGTTATGGGGCCAGATGAAGCCCGCCTCTAGGTGCGGGATTTTCTTGCTGTGTTGAAGACCCATTCGTGGCCTTCGGCTGTTTTCTGCTTTTTGGTTGTTGTCTCTTTGACACCCCGTTTCCATTCTCAATTTTAAATATATGGAAAAATTAAACAAAATACTTAACTCAACACAAACAATTAAAAACAATGGAAAAACAGAAAAAAGGAAATGTATAAACAAAAAAGTTATAATGAATTAAGTGATAGTTTTAATAGTAAATCACAAATCTTGAAATCATTGAGACCTTAAGAAAATACTTATGAATCCTTGGAGAAAATTTGTGAAAACAAAACTGATATTGAAAAACATTTTCAAAACCAAAATACTTGCAAAAAAAGTTAATTTTCAGACAGAACTTAGAAAATTCCTTTATAAATATGGATTGTGGCCAATAAAAAACAATTATAATAAGATAAAATAACACCAACATTTATACAACTAGTTGAACATATATGTTACAATATTAAAAAAAAAGTTAGTCTCTCAACCTTAGTTTCAATGTCTGGTTTTACAAAGGAAACTGTTGATTTAATTTGAGGTTTTTTTTTTTTTTTTTTTTTTACTATTTAATATCAAATCTAAGAATTCCTTATTTATAGTATTCATATCTTTTATTCTCTGTTATAATATATTAGGCAAATGTTGAATACATTGTCAACAGCACTTCGGGTATGGCCCCCTTTTTTTCAAAATATATTATTTTGGTAATGTTTTTACAATATTTCAATAACAGTAGTTTATACATGATGCCCCTCTATTCTTATTTTAATCGTGGATTAGTATACTAGTATATTATATCACAGTTTAAATAGAGGGGTCATATATAAACTACTGTTTATCTGAGACTACTAGTGTGTTGTTTTTATTTTTTAATTGAATCATTATTGTAATACCATATAGATTAGATCAGACATGTATTGTATTTAGAGAAGCGTCTCTGACAAAAAGGAAAATTTTACTTCCCGCGCTTTTAACTTAAAAATTTATATTGTTGTTTCCCTTGAAAAACCGGAAATGAATTTTGTTTTGGATCGAGGTTTGTTTTGGTTTTCAGGTTCTCCAGTCAGCATAAGAAATAACAAAAATTTGTCGTTGTTTTTGGCTAGTTTTAGGTTATGCACTCCTTTTGGGTTGATTTGATGTCTAATTTTCAAAGAACTCTTGTTTTTTTTGCAATCTGATCGACTATTCTAATTTGCAGATTCAGCAAATATCCAACTGATGAACATCATGGCTGCCAGAGCACATGGTAATTTTTCCTTAAGTTTCATCTCTGAATACATTTTCGATACACATCTTTATGCCAAATGAACAGATAAAATGATAAATTCAACATTTAAGTATATATTAGAACAAACAAAATTTTGATCGGACCTGAAATGTTCTTTACATTTCAGACAGAAGAACGTGTGTTGGAAACGTGCACCGGCTTGTAACAGAAATGGACGAAAGCAAATTCAGAATTTCAGTTATTGTATACTTGAAGAATCGACATTTGTTTCTTCGAGGCTTGCATATGTTTCCGTAAGTATCATGTCCACAAAGTATGGGTACATCGTTTATTTGTAAAATGATTTATTCACTATTTCATGTAAATATGACAACCCCCTTTTGAATAACGAGATGTAGGGTTTACATCTATGAGACAGCAACCAAATGAAACAAAAACAATAGAATACAAGGATGTCTTATAGGTTTATTTACATTCAGATTGATCTTATTTATTAAAGAAGTCTTTTATAGGGTAACTTGATAGCATTCGAGTCATAAATACCCCTTACAGGTTATAATCTACTCCAAGTTTCCCCCCGCTGTGTTTTTCAAAAAATTTTGGAAAACAATAATGTCAAAACAGTGATAAGAATCTAATAAAAAGACATGCAATGTTGTATATATATTCCATGAGGAAACGTTATTTACAACAATGGCCAATGCTGTTTGCAGCGATGTTCCAGCCCAGGGGTTCTAGGTTCAAATCTCTGCTTATACAGTTCTATAAATTTGAATTAAAAATCAAGCTTTCCTACCAACAAAACTGGCATCCAACTAAAAACCCACGGTAGATAAAGCACCTTATCGCTATGTAGTCAAATTTGGATAAAACAGTCACTAAGACAACTTCCTGTTTGAGACAAGTGTTGCAAGAACTAAGGTTATCATTTTTGAAACACAAATTTAAAGTCATAAAACTGCTTTGTTTGAAGTGTTAACAGTCTTCATGCTTAACCACAGGCCCAGCAGCCTAGGCTTGTAAAATTGTTTTCAGGCCTGTAAAAATCATCTCTACAAGCTAACAGAATCTGAAATTTTCTAAAATTTTCCAAAAATTGAACTCTGGGCCTGTAGATTCAAAGTTTTATCGTGAAGACTGGTAAATGATGGTTTAAACATGCCTCTTTGAAAAGCTTCATGCACAATACATTGTTTTATCAGGGTCCCAGATAGCTTCAACTGGTTTGTGACATAATGAAAACATTGTATAATTTCAGAACTAATCCCGATTGGAATAAATAACAATAAGGTGTACATGTAAAACTAACCAGGGTAAGTGATGTAGATATTGTCATTATAGAGCTACCATTTGATTTATATGGGGGGGGGGGGGGGGGCTAGGATGAAATTGGAAAAAAAAAAGCAGGACAGGAGTTTTGAGTAAAAAAAAAAGGCAGGATGACAATTTATTTGAAAAAAGTCAGGATAAACTAATGAAAATAAGCAGGACAGAGATTACAACTAAAAAAAAAGGCAGAACATTCACAAAATTTTTCATCCAAGCCCCCATAAAAATCAAATGGTATCTCCCTAATAGTATGATGACTCTTAAAGTGAGGGAAGTTGGATTAAATGGAAAATTGCAATTGTGTGAAAACTCTAGGCAAGATTTTTATGCCCCCGTCATAGCGGAGGGGCATTACGTTTTACCCTTGTATGTGTCTACATCCCAAAATTGGTTTCCGTTTTCTAACTTTAGTTTGCCTAAACCAAATACGATGAAACTTATGCACAATGCTTATTTCCACAAAACATAGATCAAGTTTGAATTTTGTGGTGTCACTTTTATCATTCTAGAGTTATGCCCTTTACAAATGGAAAAATTGCTGAATTTATTATTTCCGTTCTCTAACTTTAGTTTGCCTCAATCAAACGTTATGAAACTTATGCACAATACTGATTACCATAAAACACAGATCAAGTGTGATTTTTGGTGGCGTCACTTTTACCGTTCTAGAGTTGTGCCCCTCTACAAATGGAAAAATTGCTGAATTCCTCATTTCCTTTCTCTTAAGTTTGCCTCAACCAAATGTTATGAAACTTATACACAATGCATATTACCACAAAACACAGATCCAGTACAAATTTGGATAGCGTCACTTTTACTGTTCTTGAGTTATGTCCCTTTATAACGTTATATGCAAGCGGGGGCATCATCCGTGTCCCATGGACACACTCCCCATTTATTAGTCCCCTACTGATGAAGTCGTCAGGGACTTTAGGTTTGCACCCTGTCCATCCGTCAGTCCTGCATAACAGTTATACACACTTTTTTCTTCATGCTTGAAGATATTTGGTGTATTGTTTTATCATGACACGTTACAGATCAAGTTCAAATTTTGTTCCGGTCTGATGATTTTGTGCAGAGTTATGGTCCTTGGACTTAGAAAATTTACTCAAATAATCAGTTTTCTGCACTTTTTGTTTGTTATGCTTGAAGATATTGATTTGAAAATTGGTATTTAGTTTTTTCATGACAAGTTACAGTTACAGTTCGAGTTTTGTTCCGGTCTGATGATTTTGTGCAGAGTTATGGTCCATGGACTTAGAAAATTCAATCAAATAATCAGTTTTCTGCACTTTTTTTTGTCATGCTTGAAGATATTGATTTGAAAATTGGTATATAGTTTTATCATGACAAGTTACAGATCAAGTACAAATATTGTTTCGGTCTGAAGATTTTATGCAGAGTTATGGTCCTTGGACTTAAAAAATTCACTTAGATAATCAGTTTTCATCACTTTTTTTTGTTATGCTTGAAGATATTGACTTGATATTTGTTAAATAGTTAACACCATGACAAGTTATAGATCAAGTTAAAATTTTGTTCCAATACAATGAATTTTTAACTTGTAGGGGACTATGTATTGCCATGCAATACTCACAGAATGCTCGTTTTAAATCGATTTATGTTTTAACATTTTAAAGTTAGATAACTTAGTTCATGTTATGCAACCTTTTTATTGTTTATAGAAATTGCTAAACCGTCTTTATTATAACAAAATACCTTGTGCTGAGTCATTCATTTCTAATGCACAATAAAAGGTGTACTAGTACTTAAATAGCTCCATATTTGTACTTGTTTTAGTTCAATATCTTTATTTTTGTCTTTTTTGCTTTTTGCGAGATAGGGATTACAATCCATTGGTGACGGAGAAACTAATTGTATAAAGCTTTATATTCCAGAGGGTAGAATAATACCTTAAAGCGTCATTCAAACCTTGTATAATGATGTCTTGTGTTACAAAGTTTTCGTCTTTCATATGTCCATTGTCCTTGACCTCATTTCCATCGTTCAGTGACTTGAAAGAAAATGATTTTTTTTTGTCATGTGAATTTCTCACTTATTGTGAGTACCGGTAATAGGATATTTATATTTGGTATATGGGTTACTTGCAAGGTCTACATGTCTGTCAAACAGGGTTTACCTGGCCACGACTTCATTTCATGGATCATTGATCAATATTGAAGTTACATGATGGTCCATTTCTGGAATACTATAAGCAATTGGTCACCTATATTTAGTGTATGGAATGATTGTAAGGCAAACATGTCAGTGTGGCAGGTACATATGTATCATCTGTCCTTGATCTCATTTTCATGGTTCATTGGTCAATGTTAAGCTTCAGTAGTTTGGTCCTCTTCTTAGATACCAAAAGCCATAGATCAACTGTATTTGGTGAATGGAATGATTTGAAGGTGATCATGTCTGTATGACAGGTTTCATCTGACCTTGATCTTATTTTCATGGTTTGTTGGTTAATGTTAAGTTTTCTTTGTTAAGTCTATTTCTTAGATACTATAAGCAATAGGTCAACATTATTTGGTGCATGGAATGATTGTAAAGTGTACATGTTTGTCTAGTCTCATTTCATGTTCGCCTCGACTGCAGGAGGTTGTTGCTTTGAAATTGGCCTGGTCAATCCGAAGACTTTAAAATTGGTATTTGCTGCTTCTCCACTAAGCACGCAGCATTAATAAGTAAGAGCAAAGACTGGTTGGCTCAGAGTCGTAATAATGTGTCTGGGTAAATTGACATGTCTTCCTGAGGACTGTTACCTTGTGAGCTAGCATTTAAAAATCCGGCTCAGCATGTCGGTCTAGTACCAAGCAGGGTTAAGTATTCATATTACATTAACGTGTTCTCGTCCTGAATATGCATATTAATTTGCCGATGGACATTAAGTAGCCATCCATCATCATCATCATTTTCACATTTCAACAATCAAAGTTAAGTTTTCTTTGTTAAGTCTGTTTCTAAGATACTATAAGGCAAAAAAAAATATATGTCTGTTTTTATCGTTACATCATTAAAAAAAATTAGGTTAGGTAGGTCCTTATTTCAATTTTATTTCATTTAAGTTTTACCCTTGTCCGTCTGTACGTCCCACAAATTGGTTTCCTTTCTCTAACTTTAGTTTGCCTCAACCAAATGTTATGAAACTTATTCACAATGCTTATTACTACAAAACATAGAGCAAGTTAGCATTTTGGTGCGTCACTTTTACTGTTCTAGAATTCTGCCCTTTACAAATGGAAAAATTGCTGAATTTTTCGTTTCCGTTCTCTAACTTAAGTTTGCTTCGATCAAATGTTATGAAACTTATATAGAATGCTTATTACCCAAAAATTCAGATCAAGTACGAATTTGGATAGCGTCACTTTTACCATTCTAAAGTTATTCATAAGACAAAATTTTCATTTTGTTTTCAAAATAATTAAAATACATAAGAGTTTATATGCCTAAAATCACATAATTACTCGCGGATTTGACAAATATTTTTGATATTTTACTTACCGGAAATCATATTTTAGCGACTTATTACGAAGCAACGGCTGGAGACTTAAGGAGACTTAAGAAGATTTAGAATGTTCGAATAGTGTTCTTTGATTGACAGAAATTTGAATGATTTTCACGTGCTGACATTTTTAAAATTTACAAAAATCTGTGCCTCGTAATTTCACAGAGATCGAATAAAATTTCCCACCATTACAGTGCATTTCTTTATTGATAGAATTTACTTTAAAGATAAAAAACACAAAGAAAATATTTCATATAAAGTGATCTTCTATCATTGATTAATTTTTTTATTTCAAAACTTTCTATATTTTCAGCGCGTGCAAGAGAGTATATTTGATATAAAAACATGAACATATCGATCTTTTCCAGATTCAAAATTGTTGAGGGACGCTAAAATCGTACCACGTGACCTACAAAAATTGCACACAGCACCTAAGGCTGTCGCCCCTCCTCTGGATATGCTGAATCTAACTGTGCATTCAGATTTTTAATTTTGGGCCCTGTTTTCTAATTAGTCCATATTAAGGTCCAAAGGGTCCAAAATTAAACTTTGTTTGAATTCATGGTTTTTTTTTTTATATGCTGAATCTAACCATAGAATTAGATTTTGGATATTGGACCATTAAGTAGATTAAATGTCCCATTTCAAATTTTTAAGTTATCTAACCACATTTATTCTGTGTCAGAAATCTATAATGTGTCAAATATATATATTCACTATCCAAATTCAGAGCTGTATCAAGCTTGAATATTGTGTCCATACTTGCCCCAACTGTTCAGAGTTCGACTTCTGCGGTCGTATCCAGCTGTGCCAGGCAGAGCGCATTTTTTTTTTTGGCCTTAGTAATAGATCAAATATTTTTATACGACTGCAAAAATATTTTTCGGTCGTATATTGTTATGACGTTGGCATCGTCGTCGCCTGAAGACACAAGTTATTGTCTGGAAACTAGAAAAATGCTTGTTTTTAGGCCCCTTTTTGGCCCCAATTCCTAAACGTTTAGGGCAATTACCCCCAAACTCAAACCCAGCTTTCCTCTTGTGATATGGAACCTTGTAGTACAATTTAATAAAGATCCATACACTTACACACAAGTTATTGTCCTGAAACTAGAAAAATGCTTGTTTTTTTCCCTTTCTGGCCCCTAATTCCTAAAATTTTGAGGCAATTACCCCCAAAATCAATCCCAGCCTTCCCTTTGTGGTATGGTACCTTGCAGTACAATTTCAGAGAGATCCATACACTTGAACACAAGTAATTGTCTGGAAACTAGAAAAAATACTTTTTTTGGCCCCTTTTTCCTAAACGTTTTGGGCAATTACCCCCAAACTCAATTCCAGCTTTCCCTTTTGTGATATGGAACCTTGTAGTTCAATTTCAGAAAGATCCATACACTTACACATAAGTTATTATCATGGAACTAGAAAAATGCTTGTTTTTTGCCCCTTTTTTGGCCCCTAATTCCTAAAA